CACAGCTACACACCACCTGCTCTTTAGTTTGATCGTTTGAATTGAGTAACGCAGTAATAGTTCTGAATATCAATTCGTTCTTCATTATTAATCCAAGTTTCCGAAAATAACAAAACGTACAACGTTATAGCACTTTATCTTGCAGATCAGGCAAATGAGCTCGTAAACTTTGGCAGTTAAAGGAAAACAATGAAATGTCGTTCAAACTTATTATCTCACTCAATTTTCTTCTTGTGTTATTAATCTACAAGTTGAAAGTCTTTGAATTCAGTTTTTAAGTCCATTAATCCTGCTGGCCGTTTTCTTCCATATAAATTTTTTGTCGTTGTTTTAGAAATGATGAACAATCCATTAATGCTGGTAACTCGTGATAATGCAACATATAGAAGCTGCTGATTATGTGTTTTTATTGTATTCATATACAATTTTTATCAAAAGTACCACCTTGTGATTTGTGTATTGTGAGTGCACAAGCAGACACTAAAGGAAAATGATTTCTTTTGACAATATGATTTTATTTCTATTCATTGGAATAGATGAAGATCTCCTGAGAATCGGCACAGCTGTCCTACTATATTAAGAGTTTTGAATATGATGTGCAGCTTTCTTCTTATTTTGTTACCTATCTTACCAGGAAATTCAAACCATAAACGTAGAAGTTCATCATTATCGCCACGTTTCTATGTACACTATTTTCCTACACAACCATTAGCTAAGCCATCACTTACATCAATATTAGTTGTTATTATGTAAAATTTATTCAGAACTAAAATTATTTCATACGGCAAACCCCCGGTATCAATACCGATTTTTTGTGAAACTGCTGACGAATGTATGATTGTTGATATGTCCGCATGGCAACCTACACAAATATCCGTGGCAGTAGATATTATTTTGTCTTCAACGAGATTTAATATAAATTTATTATATTCCATGACACATTATTTCTCTAAGAAAAGTCTTATTCCATGAGGACATAATACAGCAACCTCTTCTTTTAAAAAAACGTGATTCAATTAATGCAAGTTCATATAGGGTTTAGCGCTCGACTTACGCATGACATGACGGGAGTGGATACTCGCGACATCAGCGCTTACGGCGTCGTAGTGTTCAACTACACGTTTGGCATTTTCGTTGCATTTGTACGGATTTACAACCCGTGTCGCGCCAAAAATTTTTACAACCCATATCGCGCCTAAAGAAGTTTTACTTCAAAATCATTTATAAATATAAAATGTACAATGAATTTAATCAAATATTTACAAATGATGTTCGAACAAAACGATAACGGAATAAAATAAGGTCTAATACGAAAATTAACTAACCTTATCAGACATTTTCTGACACAACCGAGAACTCAAATAAAACATTTTGGATTTTTGCATTTTTTAACACTTTAGTGCAAATTTCAAATATCTTACACTTTCTTAATTTGTTTTTACACTTTTTTAGCACTTCAATACAGACGTTAAATTAACACCCTAACTTATATATAATACTTTTTCTTTTACTAACTCATGTCACCACATTTCTAAATTTTATTGCAAATGTCAAACGCAATAACTTCTTTGTCCCCACCATTAAAATTTGGTAAGTGGTAGAAGAAAGTTTAACTTGTTCAAAACTAGATGTAGTTGACATTTTAAAAATTGACAATTATGTAGCACTTTGAAATAATTAGAAGTTATGAGATTTAAAAATTTTGTTAGAAGTGGAATTTTAGAAACATAAATATGTACAATCTTATTATTTGAATTTAGGTACAGTTATTACCATGAATGTATCATATTCTAATAATGTCTAGAGCTTATTACTGTTATTCAGACAGCGATTAAGATTATTGTGAGTTGTTGAAATTGTAAACACATAACCTAATTTTTCAAAAACATGTTTCATTTGACAGTTAATTTAAGTACATTAGTTTTCAATGACTATCACTAATATATTAATATTTGAACTATTTTTTTTAATAATTAATTCGTCATATTTTATGTAAATTTATATTTAAAATTTCTCAAATCTCAAATTTATAATTATTTCTTTAAATAACGAACAAAGTAATTCAGCTAGCAAATGTCATTTCGCCTTGTTTCAAACTTTAGCTTAAATGTCATCATCCTTCTCACTCTAAACATCATATGTGTGAGCGAGAGCGCCATATATGTCATTTACATATGGCAACCCCAATTTCATAAACACACAACTGTCAAATTAATTATTCAACTGTAAAAACTTATCTTTAGAAATTATTAATGTTAGTAAATGTATGTTCAAATTAAAAACATTATCTGTGTTATAAGTTTTAATTAGTGTTTTAAGTTTTGTGCTTTTATCCTGGCGGTATGTATAATTTTTCTCACTTAATACGTATATGTGTTCTTAATTCCTTATATTTTTTTAACACCTATCAATTTGATTAACTGTCCAAATAATAACAATTAGCTTAACAAATATTTGTGCGATTTATTACTTCTATTGATGTCTAAATGCATAATTAATCACTAAAACCTCAAAATATATGTGGAAGTATTTATTTTTAATTAATTGCACAGGAAAGTTAAATAAATTAATCTTTGACAAATTTAACCTACATTTTGAGGTTATGTACACGTTATTTTAAAAATCTGTTTAAAAATACGTACAAACGATATTTTATAGTTTTTTGAAGTAAAACTTCTTTAGGCGCGATATGGGTGTAAAAATTTCTTTAGGCTACAAACGGGTGTAAATCCGTACAAATGCAACGAAAACGCCAACGTGAAGTTGAACACTACGACGCCGTAAGCGCTGATGTCGCGTAAGTCGAGCGCTAAACCCTATATGAACTTGCAATTAATTGAAATCATGTTTTTTTGTTATGTCCTCATGGAATAAGACTTTCTTAGAGAATAAATGTGTCATGGAATATAATAAATTTATATTGAATCTCGTTGAAGACAAAATAATATCTACTGCCACGGATATTTATGTAGGTTGCCATGCGACAG